TTCTATATACTCTTTCTTGGGCCTACCAATATACACAATTCTACCAAACAGTCCAAGGAGTTGACATACACTAGTCAATCACTCTGACTGCCTCATCAAGCAGAGATAGGTATACGGGCCACCACAGGCTTAAATCCATGTAACATACACTTTTATTGTATGGTTCACAAACATTACACATACCATTCAGTACATTTCATAGACCCATAACAAATTATTAGGAAACATAAATAACACCAGGGACCCACCCACAAAACAAACAATACAAACTAATAACAACAACAAGGGGTAAGAGGTTATATTATAATAAAAAAATAAAAGAAAAAATTATGATGTAGGCAAATCAACATCCTTCCTAACCTCACCAGGCCCCACCTTCTCCCTACACTTACTCCCCCGTGGAGATTTTGTAGCGCTACAGTTCAGTGTTTTGATGATGATCTTCTGATGTTAGGCCTGAGAGAGAGTGCGTTTGTTGGTTTGAGGTGTGTGTTTACTGTCTTGCCATGTTTACATTGAGTAAAGGAGATCTACTAATCTACTAATCTAGACCAGAAAGGGAAGGAAAACATTAAACAGACAGGTTTCAGGTTTATGATTGACACTTTATAAATCAAAACAAACATAGATCTCGAAATGGTGGGGATTGGTTAGTCCACCACATTCAGGGTCCCCAGTGTCGAGTGTCTCTATCCTCTGATTTTATCGCACCACCATTAGGTTGGAACTTTATGGTCCTCATGATTAACTAAGTAACCTGATAACTTTAGAGTTCCACTAAAGTTTCCTCTAGCGCTATCAGCTCCATACCGGTTCATAGTGAATTGTCTTGACAATAATTAGACTGATTATGATGTTCTTATAAGAACATGCAGGAACAAGACTTTATATTCATTTTAGAAAAAATATTTTTCTGCCGCATTTGTAACACAGAACTTAATTTGGACCTTTGAACTTTAACATGTCCTCTTATTTTGGCTGACTTTGAGGTCAGTCTGTCTTCAGTAAGTTTACCCAGAACATAGAGCTTATAATACAAAAGTTGTGTAACACTGATGTTGGAAAGATTAAAACCTGCCCAACACATAACATTAGTGTAGAAGGAATATAAAAATAGAAAATACTATTATTTTCTTTCTTTCTTATAAAAGGACCCATTAGACAGTAGTTGGAGAATATTTCAGCAGCACAAAGCACAGGTTGTGTGTGTTCATTGGGATCATACCTTGAGAGCATGTCAATATGCTACTAGTCTACAGAAATAGATAAAATAAGATGTTATGTTGATAAAACAAGACAAGAAAAAGTATCTCTGTAATAGCACCAGGATGGAAGAAAAAGTAAGAGTAAGCAAGTTTCTTGTGTGCCTGTAAATATACTTCATAATCTTCTGCTATTATAAGCAGTTAATGCTGTTAGGCAAACATACGTATGCCTCTCAGTGACTTTGACAGTTAAAGCAGACGGTTAAAGCCACATCCTGTTAACCTAACTGAAAGCTATACTTCAGTATGCAGTTTTTAGACTTCATTCCCGTTCTGTTACACTTTGTTTATATACCTTGATAGATTTGTAGAAAACTAAACCAAAAATTATTGCTCTTAGGAGTAGACATTACCATAGTAATGACATTTGATTGAACGGTTGATGACTGCTTCATCTTGAAAACATTATATTCATTTCAAATGAGTGTCAGGATGTCTGCAGATTTCTGAAAGAACATTTACACTAAACAAGAAAAGCATCAGTAATACTGTAAACAAACACTGTAAAAAAAAAGACATGATAAATTTAACTGTTCAGTCTTTCCAGAAATGCCGGTATGATGTTTTTGTATCAGAGATAGTTGTTATACTTTATATTAAAAAGGTTTAGAGGCACACAGATTTAACTTTGAGGGAGATAAAAAAGCCAAAATTCACTGTAACAATTTAAATACTGTACGTTACTCTACTTCTGCATGTAGACTCACTGCTTCAGCTACGCCTTCCTGACCCCTATTATCTTCCGCCGGCGTCCTTCTGCAAACAATTATACAAAAAAGGATTTACATAGTATATTAAATTATATACATAGCAGTATGTAAATGTCTGCAGTACTACTGTGTTTGGTACCTTTGAAATTTCCCGGATGTATACAGATACCACACTGCAGCAG